TAATATAATTTATTTTATAAATATTTTTAATGAATCATTTATGAAGGAAAATTACTAAAATACAAAGATAAATTCTTCCAAATATTAAAAGATAAGGTGTTTTAAATATCTTTATTAAATGTAATTATTTTTAGAATATGTTAAATTTTAATTTTTATAAATAATCTTAATAGTAGTAAAATTTTTCTTTCCACAAAATCCATGGAAAGTTTAAAAACATAACTATCTAAGAATCTTATCTAAATGATTTATTAAGGAAAAAAAAAAACTTATCCTGGCCTTACTACAGTTAAGATAAATGTGTAGACATGGACATTTGTCAACTTCTTATTCTGAATTTGTGGAATGAATTGACTACAGTCATAGAAATTCCAAAGGAAGTTGACCTGATCAGTATCTGTGGTGTCCATTAAGAGAGATCAAGACATCAACCATAGTGCACTTCATGTGTTCATGTCTTTAATGAAGAGGAGTGTCTACTTAAGAGCAGTCAATTGTAATAAAGTTATACTTTTATACATTGACCACAAAAATTGACCATTAAGGAGAAGTGTCTGTTAAGAGATTTTATTGTATTTGATTTATTTCATACATGTATTAATTAGTGAAAAATTTAATTACGATTTTATTATATAATTTTAGACTTTGTACTTGAAAGTTATAGAATTTTTTTCATTTCTCAATGTTTCAATGTCCACTAAATTGAAAAATGTAAAAATCTTGGGGGTCATTTTTTGACTAATTGTCATACTTTCCCTCTGTTATGTATAACAGAGTTGGCAACGTAAATAGATCAATCAAACTTGCAACTTTCAATATAACATTCAAATATCATCACTACTTTCACTATTTGTTTTTTAGTTTATTAAAAATTGTTTTGTCCTCTAGCAATTAATATTAATAGAGAAAACATAATTAATACAAATTTATAGTAAAATTATTATTTTTTAAACTAATATTCAGAAATAATTTTACAAAATTTTTGAAACTAAAATTATTTCTATTTAGAATGATATAACTTGTTATATTTTCAAGCAGAACAAATAATTTTAGTACCTTTACTTCATTTTTCAAACGTGTGTCTTTTGTTGTGCTGTTTCTTCTGTGTACTTCATTCTATAAAAAAAATATACATATAAAAAAGTTTATTTCCTGTTCATAAGTTTAATGCAAGCTTATAAAATATTTTATTATAAATATTATAAATACATGCATTTAAACTTTCAATTTTAGTTATAACCAACTATTCTAGTTCAATAATAATTTTTTTTTTTTCATTATGATCACATATATCTATTTTGAATCGAAATTTTTGTATTATTGACCAAAAAGTTTTGCTGTCTTTACTATTTTTTAGTAGTCTTGTTTCAAGTTGTGATCTAGTTCAATAATAATAATAACTGCTTAGCCCTGAATCCATTATCTAACATGTTAAACAATACACAAAATGGTTACAATATCAGACATAAAAAAACAACACAGTTTAATTGTCACATCACATGTACATGGACAATGTAAAACTTTATACATCCACACAAAAACAACTTCATCAACTCCTACAAATCACACATTCATACTCCAAGGACATACAAATAGAGTTTGGCCTAGACAGAAATGCAAAACACTTCACATAGAAAAAAGGCATCCCAAAGAAAGATTTTGCACTTGGAAATGGAGATGTTTTTGAACCCATGGAAGAAGGCGAGTTCTACAAGTATTTAGAATTCCAACAGGCCAAACAAAACATACAAATAAAGCAAAGATTAATTAAAGAATACCAAAGTATGTTAAATGCTATTCTCAGAACAAAGTTAAATGCAAAACACACATTTAAAGCAATAAACACGTATGCCATCCCAGTACGCACTTATTCTTTTGGAGTTATATACATTGGACTCACACAAATCTTGAGTAACTCCAAAGAAAAATAAAAAATATATAAAAACACATTTTAAAGTAATGTTTTTTATTCAGATAAATGTACTAAAAAATAAAAAATACATTTTCTTCAGCTTTCACAGTATTTTTGGTATTATGGTCATAGAATATTTCTAAACAGAAGTGCCCCATACTTTTATTTTTTGTTACATAATACCAAAAGTACTGAGAGAGCTAAAGATACTTATACCAACATACAAGCTTAATGTAACACTTGTTCGGGTACACCTTGGCTTTAGTCTGGCATAACACTTGAAACTGGTATATTTTACTTTTTAGTACATTTATCTGAATAAAAAGTGTTACTTTAAAATGTTTTTTTTTTAATATATTTTTTATTTTCTACTTTTTAGTTATATTATATGTGTGTGTATATAACACTGAACTTTTAAATTCTTCTTAGTTTAGCATTTAATTTTATGTATATTGTTCTCTGTGAGATTGGTTTTGATTCAAAAAAAAGTCTTAAGTCATTTAAATTTGATGCAGTGAGTGATTAGTCCTCTCAATTACTTTGGTGATAGAATACTACCTTGAATATGACAGCTTCTATGGCCTGCAAAATTGCTGATAAGGTGGTTAATTATTGGGTTGTTTGGAAAGTAAGTTCATTTTTTTCCGTGGAAAAAAACACAATATTTTTATAATAAATAAATATTTTATTGAATTATATATTGACCATTTTGGTCAAATACCTGTTGTCATCGTTTCTGGTAGCAGCATGATTTTATATTCATAAAAGTTCTGATCGTTGCTTACAAAAAACTGATCCAAGTGATTTTTGACATTGTCATTTCAAGTAAATGTCTTACAGTTAAAAAAAATTTGTATAGACCGGAACAAGTAATAATCTGAGTGTACTCGATCTGGAAAATATGGTTGGTGTGATAGCACATCCCATCTAAGTTATAACAATTTCTGACGAGTTACCAAACTTGTGTGAAATTTGACATTATTGTGGTAAAACACTACACCATTTTTGTTGATCAATTCTGGCCACCTTTTCTGTTTGATGATATTACTCAATTTGTTTACTCGATGGCAGTACACTTTTGAATCAATTGTTAAATTGTCTGGTAAAAGCTCCAAAAAAAAATTTCCTTAAAATCCCACCAAAGAGAGCATCTCTATTTAAGAACAAGTGGAACCCATATATCGAGCTTTGAAACGAAACCAATTTGTTTCAAGTAATCATAAACAGTTCAATTTGACAAATTTAATCTCTTAGTGATTTCACGTGTTGTTATTTGGCAGTTTGCTTCAATCAGTAGCTTTATTTTGTTTTCGTTGGCTTCAACCAGCCATCCAGAACGTGGTGCACCTTCAATATTGAAATTGCCAGAACGAAATTTTGTAAACCAGTTTTGGCACTGTCTTTCTCTTAACACATCATCTCCATACATGTACCACAATTTTTTTCTTGCTTGAACAGCATTTTGATTTTTTGGTAATAAAAAAGCAAAATATGCCGAAAATGATGCTTTCGATCTTCCATATTTGATGGGACACAAAAAATAAACAATTGCACAAAATCAAACAAAATTTTTTACAAATAAGCCTTAAAATGCTAGCTGTCAAAATATATAATGATAATATGGTTTAGAATGAAAATGGCGGAAAAATACGACTAATCCGTCTAGTGGTAAAAAAAACGAACTTACTTTCCAAACAACCTAATATAATAGTAGTAAAGACTAATATTTTTTATGTATATTTTTTATATTTTCTTAAAGATTAAAGATGTACTTTAGTTGTTTGATGGAATAACCATATTCTTTACCTTCACATTTGTTCCCAGTTTAGAACAGTAAATAATGGTCATGCGTTGTAGTGCCATCTGTTATCAGATTTTATTTACAAATTTTAATTATTTGCTAATTTTTTACTAATTGTTAAAAATGTTTGCAAACTATTAAGAAATGTACTTTTGTTGGCAATACACATATGTGCAAAGTTTCAATTAGATTGAAAATTGGGAAGTAGATGAATTGCAACTTTTTACCTAGACAATAGACAGACAGATGCACAAAGTTAATAAAAAGCTTTAAACAAGAACAAAACTTACTAAGCATAAACAACTTTTCTATGTTGTTTATGGATTTTTCTATGTTGTTTATGAATTTTTCTATGGCAGACTTAGTCCTAAGTCTGCTATAGAAAAATTAACCCTTCCATGTAAAGATGGCAGACGTGGCCACTACAAACAAATATAGACATCACGAGTTTTTTCTACAAAAAACAAAATCATCACAATTACATAAAGCAGTAACTTTAGCAGACTCAAATAACACACCATTAAACTTACATTCACATTACATGGACACAACACAACATATAAAAAGCATAGGCACCATTAAGCAATCATGGACTCGAAAGGCAATCCATGGCAAGCATCCCTACAATCTGGTCCATAATTTTGTTGACAAAACTGCATCAAACAGCTGGTTAGGTCAGAGATGCCTCTTTGGGGAGATGGAAGGGTTCATGATTGCCATACAGGATCAGGTCATAAATACTAAAAACTACAGAAAACCATACTCAAAGATACAACACTCAAAAATAACACGTGTAGAAAATGTCACATCATGCCATAAACTATTCAAAACTATTCAACACAACCCAAACTTTTTTGATTCTAGACGTCCTTGCTAAATGCAGATTTTCCCAAGGTGTCATTTGTAAAATTCTAACAAGTACATTTTACAAATTCTATCAAGTACATTAAATTCTAACATTATAAAAATTTTATAACATTTCGTGGTGTCCCTGTGAGGAAGACACAGCATCCTCCAGTCAAATAAGACAGATGTGGAGGATGGATAAGGTATTTATTGTACATAATGTCCTCTCTTCACTGGTGCTATACCACATACACTACACAAAAGTCTAGAAACATTAAATCTTAATAACAACATATGCATGGCACTACAGAAAGCTGCAATATTGAACACATGCTACATTGTTAGGAAGTTTCTAGTTGTTGGTACATATGCCAATAATGTAGAAGCTTAATGTAACACTTGTTTGGGTATACCTTGATTTTAGTCTGGCATAGCAAGTGGTACCATTATCAGCTGAGCATGTCATTTGCAAAATATAATAATGACTGTTTAAGGTTATGTAGTGGTCTCACAGGCTTGGCACTTGGGCCTGCCTGTGAGGTATGATACCAGACACTTTCCAAAAATGATACACAGTAAAAATAGAAATAATAATAACAAAATGTATAGCTATAAGTCTTTGATTAAAAGTAAATATAATTTAGTGTATAGATAAAATAAAAAAGCTTTTATTGTCAATGAATTTAATTGCCATAATTACTGTAAATAAAAACTGTTTTTTTTTTGTTTTCAAACATAGTTTATTAAAATACTTCATATCATTTAAATTTGTACACATTGATATAAATATTCACTTCCAATAAATATGAAGTTTTTTAGATTATGGTATGCAAAAAATAATCTCATAAAATACAGCAGCCAGCAGAAAAACGGGTGATTAAAAATAGATGCCATGATTTGAAGCCATTATTCTCCTTTAGAAAGGATAGGACAAAGATTGGAAACATAAACTCTGGTAGAGGAAAATATTCTAATGATGTAAAAAGAAAATAATCTGAGATATCCCTTATGGAAATAAGAAATATGTGCTCTTCCAAATTGGTACAAAATCAACTGTGAGGCATTTTTAACTGAACATATCTTTGTGAGTCAGAAAGATCAAGGCTTCTTACTTTATGTGATTGATGACACTACATAATTAATTAACAAGCAAACCAACAAAGAACAGAAATGATTACTTTAGGAGTTACAAGTTGCTAAAGTATGAATTCACTTGTACAAAATCAATTTTTACCCCCAAATTATAGAAAAACTATGCAAGGCTGGAAAATGCAACTAACACAGCTGAATTCACAGCAAAAGGTTGTCCTAAGTCATCAAGTTTTAAAATGTATGCTTATTTCAATGATGCAGAATACAAGGACAAAGTTGATACTTCATGAGGTGTATGTGGAAGAGTGGCATGATCTCCATATGAAAGTCTATCTCAGAAATTATACAACATTTTGATCTAATATTTTTCAGCTTAGTTTCAGACAATAAGCTACATATCTTACTGTGGAGTTTGAACAATATCAGAGAGGGTCAAGTATGGAGGTTTTCAAGTTGGCATGGAATGACTCAGAAGAAAAGTGAGCTAGAGAGAAGGCAAAGAAACGATAGAAGTGGTGGCAAAATACATTGAACTTGCAATATGAGGCAACAGCTGTTGATGTGATGTTTATTAGAAGAGGTGCAATTTTACATTCAATAAAGCAATAATTGCAAAAACACAGAAAAATTACAGACTTTTTTAAGTGAACACTGCACATATATTTTATTACAACATATATTTTAAGTGAACATTATATACAGTATTTTAGTTTTCGAGTGTATCTAATCTATCAGGATAAATCAAGGTAAGGTGCATTTGCATTAAATCATTTTAAAATGATAATGTATTTATGTATTTTACAAGTTTTCATTTACATACTGATGTAGTACAGTATTGTATATTCTACTGACTAACACTGCATTATTATTATTAATTTAATTAACAAATATGTTCGTTATAAATTATACATTTATAAAAATAGCATATCTTACTTTTCTCTTCTGGCCATCTTCTTTCAAATTACGAGAAAATTTTCCTACATATAGAAATAAATTTTCACTTACTTTATCTATATCGATATAATAATTACAGTGATTTTTAAAATATTAATCTATATTTATAGCAAAAAATGTCTCGAATACTTACTCGACGTATCATCCAAATTATTACGTATATTTTTTGCTCCGGAGTCAGTCTGTCGTTTTTCCAAACCACGTCTTTGCGATTTATGCCTTTCTTCACTCTTATTAGCTCCATCACCATATTTATTACTCGTACTCTTATAACTCCTCTCGGTCGACCGCATCCGATCGGATCTCTTCGACGTCTCCGAACGAGACGTGGCATCAGACCTTCGGGAAGACCTCGATCCGGCCACGGAATCGTCCACTCTCTGACGAGGAACGGAACTTCTGCTTTTCGAATCGTCTCTTCTTTTAGTAGCCGCACGTCCGTCCACGCCGTCGCCTCTGTACTTATCGGATTTATGTTTCCCATCTTCAAGACTCTTAACAGTGGACGACGATCTTTTACTGGATCTTCCATCTTTCTCTCTGGATTTTGAATCTTCTCTTCTTGTTCTATTTTCTCTAGATGTGATTTTGATCTATTTAAGAATATTGATAAAAATAAAATTTTTAAACGTGTAAGTTTATCAAATATAAATATTAAATCACGTTTAATTTAATATTTATATTATTATTATATAAGTTGTACGTGTAGATTAATCTCTTTTTGTAGAAATATTAATAAATAAATAAATTAAGAATTATATACCTTTTCAGTAGGCATGTTACGGTCTGTTTATAAATATCGTAAGAAAATTTAGGTTCAAAATATTTCTCATTTTCTGATTAGTCAAAATAAAATATATATTCATTATTTACATTTTGAAAGACATTTTATCACCTGTAGCGCCATCTACTAATACAATACGTCGATATTAAATATAAATTGTATTTTTCATTTATGTTATAAAAATAAAAATATTATTTTCGAATTAATGCGATTGAAGTAATTAAAATAATAACGTTATTTAATTTTAAAATTTTAAAAAAAATCTACCCTTTATGTATGAAGTAAAATGTATGAAGTAAAATTATTAAATTAAAAAAATTTATATTGATCTTTTAACTAATTTTCAAATTTTTTAAATAATTTTATTGCAAATTTTATTAATATAATGTAATTTTTTTAATATTTACGTGAATAAATATTTTTTTTAAATTAAATAACGATTTTTCAAATAATAAGTTTATTTCCAAAAATTTCCAATCGGGGAAATTTAGCGCTAGTGTCGCGCATATTAGATATGTTGTCAAAGAAATTCAGGCCATACAGAAAAGTTGAGACACAAAGTTTAATAATTTTATTGCAATTTAGTGTGTCGATAATAGTAATAAAACAGACACGATTCCATTATGTGTGTCCTTCATCTAGAGCCGTTAAGAGCTTGTACTGGCCTGGAGGTAGAACGAGCTCTTTTTGCCCCGTTTTGTCTTTTTTTTTCTTTCAACAAATAAAATACAATGTTTCTTTATTAATAAAAAGCATTCTTAAACAGTTTCTTTCAGGAAAATTAACATTAATTTATAGAGGCTCTTAGTAAATTTCAGATTTCCTTTCTCGACGGCCCCATCTCTCAATTTTAAAGCATGCGTTTGATGAACAATGCGCTCGACAGCGGAACGAAACTGAATTGAATATAGTTGTTTCACATACGGTGAAACTCCGTCTTTTAAACTTTTTAAAGATAGCTAAGCTAAGAACATTGTCTTGTTTTGTCCGGATAAATGAGTCTCTTTAGTTATCCCCGTAAAGAGATTGTGATGGTGGTTGCCATGCTGTTGGAAGTATAGGGAGAAGGTTGTATTATGGAACCCCTCCATTTCAAACTGATAATAAAGGCGAACTGTTTCGGATTGTGGCTAAACTGCACTAGGCAGGCATCCATAGCAAGGGGAAAATTCGTTTCACTTCAGTTATAAGTAAAAGTGGTTGTCCGTAGTAAATTAGCATATTTGTGTTTTTCGAAATTCGAAAGTTTTGAATGCTAAGTGAATTTAATTATTTCTAAAATATAAAGCGTGTAGTTGTAGGTTCACTGGTGCATGTATTCCGCTCCAGAGACTTAGGGTACATATTAATCTGTGCAGTGGCGTGCCGTCATTAGAAGCGTTGGAAGCGCCGCTTCCCTCGTATTCTCTAAAAAATAAATAAATATTAATTTTAATTATATGAAAATAATCGCACAATATTTTATTATAACCGCATTATGTATCTTATTACAAATTTCTATACTACACGTGGAAAAAAAATTGCTATTGTATATTAGAATATTAGTGGCGGAGTGGAATCTCCTGTATTTTCAGATTACGAAAAGCCAGATTTGCGCATGCGCTTTACAGAGCACCAACCTCACCCGGTTTAGCCGGTGGAAGCCTACGACCTTGGGTGAAAGCTGCACACATATAAAGATTCCAATTCTATCAAGGACCGGTTCTGGGCTGTTAGCCGCCTGCCCACTAGATATTTCGATTACGTGAATAACGAGTAGATTTATAACTTAACCCAACCGATAAGAATTTACTGGTATGTTTTTACGATAGTTCTGTATAGTTGACAGGAGTTTAAAAAATCCATTAAAATATTTGATATATTTATTCCGCTCTCCGATTTTATATTACTCACGGATTTCGATGTTAAACCAGTGATATTACGATTTCGTACATCCCATCTTTAAGGGGATGTAGAAAAAAACGTGTACAATTCTTGTATAATGTTAAAAAATTAACCGTTACTTCGACAGCGTCATTTACAACTAAATTTAATGAATGAGAGAGATGCACCAGGTACAGAAAAGGCTCTAGAATTTATTTTCCTTAAATTTACGATTTATGTATCCGTTGTCGTAAAAATTTGTCTTTCCACTTTTTTCCCGAGACTACAAATATTCGAGTACAAAGTAACTGGTTTCGACTTATTTCTACTTAAGAAGTAGTTAAATAATTAAGCGATTAGGGAATTGGGGACGTAAACAAAACCCTGATGAAAGAGCCGGAATTTTACTTAAACAAAAGCCTAACCGGACCAATATCTAGCCGAGTACAGTGGGACTGATTTCTTCGTAATATTAGATGTAATAAAGACAGAAATTTTTCCAGTTCAATGAAAGTGAGTAAAAGTTGTAAATTTTGGAAATTTCCGTGGACACCTGGTCTTAAAACGAATTACAGTAGTTAGAAAACAAATGACTTTTAAGTTTAACAAATTTAGATTTTTACAGCTATGATGAGAAACGTTTAAAATTTACAACAACCCTGTCGCGTCCTTTGAGATATACTAGTGATGAGACAAAAGAGACATTAACCGGTATCGGCACCCTCGGGATTTGGCAAGCAAGCACCGCACCGCACACCTACCAAGACCGTCTCTGATTCCATCCACGAGCCACTGGTAGGGAGCAATTTTAACTAGGTGGATTGTTTTAATATTTAAAAAGTAAAGACTATTTTATGTTATTTTTATGTACGTTTCTTCACAAAACTATATTTATAATTTTCTTTAAAAGTATATTCATACAATTGAATATTTTGTACCAGGTATGTATAATTGTATATCATCACACATTTTATTTTAACAAGTAAGTTTTTATAATTTTATTTTTAATTTTAGCCCTTATATTATAGCTAGCAATTTAGAATGTAATTGTGATATCGAAAATTTATTTCAAAAAGTTTTGGCTCGAGACCATATAATGAAAAAGAAAAAATTTGTTCGACATTTTCATGATAAAATTTATGAAGATATAAAATGGCTTTGTGGATGCATAAAAATGCAAAATTTGTTTTGTTGGCCTTGCCTACTATTTTCAAATAAAATTAGTGTGTAGAATGAGATTGGCTTTGACGATTTAAATAATTTGAGTAAAGCTGGCAAAAGACACGAAAATCCTAAATCTCGCATCGATTCTTTCGTAAAATTGAAGCAATTTGGAAATCAAAATAGAATAGAATTTAACATTAGTACACAATATAAAATATATATTGAAAATTATAACAAGATAGTTACGGCTAATAGATATATTTTAATTAGTAGATGTTATCGAAGCGAGAATTGGCATTTAGAGGGCGTATAGAATTTATTAAATCTAATATAAGAGAGTTAATTATATTGAACTTGCTTATTTATTAAGTGCGTTAGATAATCTATTAATTAAAAATACATTTAGAGAAGTCTACGGTTTTTACTGGCTTATCGAACAAACGAATACGAATGGACCCTAGACCATTGCTGACTGATTGCCCCTGGAAGTCGGCTTCTTATAGAAACACAGCTTCCCTATCATCAAATGTCACGGCACGCCACTGAATCTGTGTGGTGTTCACGTTTTTAAAATTTGGTCTTGACAGACATAAGTTAATTCGAGATGGCGTGAAATACGGGCCCCATTGGTGCTTTTAATATGGAGCCCGTCTAACTTTTGTAAAAGTATGTGGCAGATGAATGAAAAAATAAAAGGAAAATGAAAAAAGTAAAATAGTTACCTAACACTATAGGAGCATTATATTTGTGATTTTTGTAAATGATTAGCTTCTTCTTTGTACATTTCTTTATTATTATTAAATCATTTTTGCGATAAAATACATTGGAATAAATAATTTTGTAATTATTTAACGTTCTTTATACTTTCCTATTTGTTTTTGGATACATTAAAGCATTTTTTGAAAACATACAGTAGGGTTCCATATTACCACCCGGTTTTCCCTAACCTTACTTTCTGACTTTTTGTACAGAAGCCTTCAAAATCCATACTTATAGTTAAACTAGCGAAAAATCCAATTAGGAACATTTAGTTTAATAGTTACCAGTACTTTTCGCACAAAAAATGTGGGTGTAGTTATGATACCTTGTTTACAATTCACTATAATGAAAATGGGGTTCCATAATATCACCTTCTCCTCTAATCGATTAATCACTCATTCCAATGATGAAGAATACTGTAAACCCGCGCCATACTGTAAGTTTTGGTTGCTGCAAGGAAATTTTTTAAAAACATATGGGTTTTCTCCAGACAAAATACGGCAGTTGTGTGTGTTTATCACACCACACCATTCAAGTAAAGTGGGCTTTATCGGTCTTAAGAATTTGCTGAGGCCATAAATCGTGGATCATCATCCGAGTTATGATGGCATGATAAATGAGTTTTGCTGAGCAAAATTACCAGGAAACAATCGTGACTATGAGATATCATGTAGGGGTAAACTGCAATATTGGCCTCAAAATTTTCCGAACTATAGGATAGGCCATGTCGAATTGCCATTACGTCGCATGCGCACTACAGCTTCTTTGAGAATTCTTCATTCACTATTCCACTACAGTGATTACCACTTCTTCCATTTTCGCCGGTTTCATCAGTTTACAGCCATTTCCTGGTTTCACATTGAAAGTTTCAGTTACTTCGAAACACATAATCATTTTTTTGAGATTAGTAACGAACAGAACACATTTTCGCAAGAACTTTAAATACAGGAATTAATTGAGTACAACACTAGCATTGCTGCTTCTTTGAAGGTACTGTACAGTACAATTTAACGAGTAATGCACATTCAGATAATATAACATATAATCATCATGACTTAGTCGCTAATCCATATCGAACACACTGCAATCCTTCATAAACGTAATGTGCAAATTGCAGCGACGTAAGCCTGAAACTTTCCTTATTGGGAAATTTTGAAACTAAACATTTAATTTTCGAAATCGAAGTACTATGATCAGGAAAGTATGAACACTAAATTTGATAGCATTTGGTCCAATATTTTTTCCATACAGAGGTCTAAACACCTCCTGTTTAATTATAATTACTCTGTATAGAATTAGCGAATCTTATAGAAAGAGAAGCGATTAAAGAAATTTGAATCACATATTAAAGTCACTTTGTTAGGCAACATGCCCAACTCTGTGTATTTGGAAAGCACTGAAAAATTTTGAAAAAAAGCCAGCAACGAGTTACATAACCCCGCGTTTCTTTATGCAGAGTGTGTGTAGCGAAATGACGTCACGAGCAGTGTTGGCCAATTAGAAACCAGTTTCAGTATGTTTGCTGTAAAGCGCTTCTCGAGCGCTGCATGAATAAACGCAGGGTAACTTTCTGGGCAGCGGCGGCCTTATCCATTGCGAGGCTCTGGGCGGCAGATCTTTGCGAGGCCCTTGTCCTTTGTGCAAAGTATGTGAATTGAAATAGTAGGCACTTATTAATATTAATATATACTGTACTATAAATTAAATTTATTTTATTGTTATAACTAATAGCCAAGGATAAAATAAAAAGTTTTAAATATCAACTTTTTTCTACTTGGTTGTTGCGCGAGGCCCCTCCAAGAGCGAGGCCCTGGGTGATTGCCCTGCTCGCCACCCCCAAAGGCCGCCACTGTTTCTGGGCGCCATTTAAAATTACTTGTGGCTCCATCTGTTGTGATATTTTATTAAAAAAACTTTTTAATACTGTAATTAATTGTTATAAAATAGCAAAAAGCTTAATTTTGAAAGTAGAGATGCGTTTTGTAAAAAATTATTAATGATTATAACAAGTAAAATCTTCATTAAGTCTGACCCTACTAGAGATATGACACATGACCCCCTCTATCTCCTCGTCCCCTCGACCTTTAACCAACAAAATTTACTGGCATCAATCCCTCTAATACACAATTCCATGCAAAATTTCATAAATTTTCGACAAAAGGCACAGGAGTTATTAAGCTTCAAAGTAGGTGAACAAAATCGTGTCCCATATATAAACACTAACATCAATACATACAGAAAAAACTCCCTAATTTTGTGTTACAAAAGGGAAGTAAGGTGATCGGTCAAAAAATGACCTCCCAAGATTTTTACATATTTTGACTTAGGGGATCTTGAAACATCGAGAAATGCAAACAAATCTGGGAGTTTTTTTTTTGTATGTATGGATGTTAGCATTTGTATGTGGGAACACGATTTTGTTCACCCACTTTGCAGCTTAATAACTCTTGTGCTTTTTGTCGAACTTTTCTGAAATTTTGCACGGAGGTTTATATATTATAGGAATTGATACTGTTAAATTTTGGTGGTTTAAAGATCGAGGTGACATGGAGATAGAGGGGGATTGTGTGTCATATCTCGAGTAGGGTCGGACTTAATGTCGATTTTACTTGTTATTAGCAATTAAAAATTTTTATACAACACATCTCTACCTTCAAAATTAAGCTTTTTGCCATTATATGATAATTAATATATAAAAAAGTTTTAAATAAAAAAATATCTTAACAGAAGGCGCCACACACAGTTTTAAATGTTGCTGGGAAAGATGTGGTTATCCTAATGAGTGTGTTATATTATAAATAGAACTATCAGAAGAAATTTTGAATTAAGCCATGGCGTATAATTATAATACTTGTAACACAGTAATAATCGTTTAAAAATTATTGATTCGTATTAAAAATACAGTATAAAACACGTCATTCGTGACTTAAAATATCTTTATATATGTATATATACTGTATTTCGTTTTTAATTGAGAGGAATAAAAAAAAATTAAAGTTTAATATAATTTTTTGTTGTTTGCAGTTGTACGCAACATCAAAAACAATGGTTTTAAATTATCAGACGGAAGTTGCATCTGTTTATTTAGCTGGCGATAATATCGTAGATAATAATAAAACGGTTTATTTTTCATTTTTATAGATTTTCCTTGAAAATAGGTCATAGGGTCAATTCAATCTCAGGTAACGACAGTAATTTTCCAGTATCTTAAAGATAATTTCCGAAACTGTTTCCAATGATTCAATAGAGATAGCGCTCTTATCTATATTAAACTTTTTTTTGTTAGATTAATCATTGACTGAAATTGTTTCGTGCAATTTGTTTATACACTCTTTTCGAGTCATACGTTGCAGATAATTAAGAACCTGTGGTAATTGTTGTTACGTGGTAGAGATGTAACCGAAATTGCACGCGCATTTCTAACAAAAACGATGACGGCCCGAAACAGTTTTTATACGTAATTGATTAATACATAATTAAATTAATAAAATAATATTTAATAATGAGTTTATTGTTTAAATAAAAAAATTTTTATAATAAAAATATTTAATTTATTTAAGTCTAGGAGGAGAATCCATTACTATCTTCGGTTGCTAGGCAACTGTCAATAATAGTTTTTCAGAGCACGTGATTTTGTGCTTGGGGAGTGAAGCGAAGCCGAAACTTCCGATTATTATATTCTAAGGAAAATGGAAAACTTTTGTGGAAGTGTATTTTGGGTATGAATTATAACCATTTCTCTAAAAAGTATTTTTTTAAAATAGTTTTTTTTTATAAATTGAGTTTATTTTATTCCGCGATAAATTAAAAAAATACTATTTAATAATTTAAAATTTAAAAAATAATATGTAAGAAAAGCTTTAAAAATTATTCAATTAATTGTAGATAAAATATAAAATTCGAGATTTTATTATTTGATAAATATGAAATTTAATACTGATAAACTGTAAAAATATATAAGATTAAAAGCACGAGCACGAGCTTTTCGGCGCAAAACTTCTCAGGGCATCAATTTGCAACTAGGATATAACATTAGAAGCTGCAAACAGAAATTATATATATATATATATAAATTTAATTACAATAATGATCCGTTACGAAAAATGATATATCACTATATATAATATTTTTCTATAAAAATAAATTGATGAATTTGGGACCAAAGGAGACAGAAATCCACTTGAACATACTGGAATTAATTTAAAAAAATTAAATATATTAAGATTAAATGAATAATTATATAAATGAAAAAAATAAAATCAAAATAAAACTGTCCTAAAAATGTAACTTTAAAAAGTATATTCTATACATTTATTTATTATTTTATAATATAAAGATAATTCCAGCTTATTTTGAATTTAATTTTTAATGGTTTCATGCTATTTAATTAAATAGTTGTTTAATTTTATAAACTGTTCTGAAGATGTCTTTTTATTTTAGGATGTTAATGTTTCTTGGAATACCCAGACTCCAGATTTTACTCTGTGTTTCCAAAATACAGTGCTTACCTGGATTCCCTGTGTATTCTTATGGTTATTCACGCCATTAGAATGTTATGTGTTGTTTCGTAAACAGCGTAAACCTATTCCATGGACCATACTGACTATTTCAAAAACGGTAAAGTTTAAATAATTTATTTAGTTAATAATTGGAAAGATATAAAATTATTATTAATATTTATTTATGTTTTTATAGATATTACAAGTTGCATTACTAATATTAACTCTCGCAGAAATTGTTATTAATGTAAAATTTTTAACAGAACCTATTCAAGTTTATCCAGTACACTACTGTACACCTTTAATAAAATTGTTCAGTTTTGTAAGTATATATAAAAAGAATATAATGTGTATAATATTTGAATTAGATTTTAAATTTTCTAAAAAGTTTTTTAAATTATTATTATTTTTATTATTTGTTAAATATGATTTATAAAATTAAAATGCTATTTTAAAGCTTTTATTATAAATGTAAAATATTTTATAGATCATCTATTTTATTAATTTCACATTAATAAATTTCATGCTCATATATTGGATTACATAACAAATTTGTTCAGCTTTCTGGGAAATAAATTTGTAACTAGGTTTAAAACTAATCAGTTTTATAAATAAATAACACTTTCACCATTTACATTTTAACTTTTTTTTTTATAAATTAGTTAAAGGAAGTCTTACAAATTTTTATAAGAAATAACTTATCATTGGTCAAATGAGCTTATTTCATAGTCAAACTGTAATACAGTAATTATTAATTTACAAAGGCAATTATAATGCATTTTCATTCAAAACATCTTACAAAACTTGTAATTTAGTCATTCTGATAGAACCATTGTTTTATTTTTTAATTCAATGATTTGCTAAAAAAGAAAAAGAATATTTTAAAAAATTCATGAATGAAAAGTTAATGATTGTTGAAGGAACTGTTAATGTAAAATATCTTGTAGACCATCAAAGAAAAAATATTGTTGGCATAAAAGACATTCTAAATTGAGTTGTTGTTAAACTAGAATTGGTAAAATAAATATTTATTTAAATTAAATATTGCAACTCTCACAATTTCATCCACTTTCAAAACATGCTGTACACAAAGATTTAACTAAGTTAATAGCTCAGTAAGTTTTTCTGTTTTTATTGCATGTATTTATTGTTTTGTTATATCTTTATTTAATTAGGATTTTAACTTTTATATATGGGTTTGACATCACTCTTATTATTATTATTTGATGATTTTACTACATTATAGTATTGTCAATAAATAAAGGAAGAAAGTGAAAAGCAAAGACACTCTGCATCTACAATAAAACATTTTGTCACCAAGACATGTCAAAGTCATTATGTTTACTTAGAGAAGCCTAAATATTTTGCCAAAAAACTCTACAGTTTAATCTTGATAATTGGAATTATTGTGTTGACATGATTTTGTAGTTGCATCATTAATGAATAGCATGGTACATTCAAATTTTTTCTATCCAAAAGTTAGATCTTAAATTCATAAAAGAATTTTAATACTGTATATTTTTCTCCATATTATATTAAGCAAGATGATATTTATGAATGGTGTAAAGTCCAGAAATGGAAAAACATCTTAGGACAGAGACCATTCAGCTCATCAATAATTTGGAGAGATAAGTTATGCTATTGCATGTCTTTAAATAAATATCAAAAGAAGTGATGTTTAAATGATTTATCTATATAAAAAGTAAAAAAGTTTATATATAGGCCTATATATATTATATATTGTTTGATTTTATTAGGAATAATAATTAATTCAAAACTAAGTTAATAATGATTATGGATTTTAGATCTGAACTGATGTGATAAAACTTTATAGATGCAAGGGAGGAAAAGAAACAAAACTTATTATTTTTCAATATAGCCCACAAATCTCCCTCCCAAAACAAAAACAAAATTATTTGAATGTATAAAAATATTCACTCATTTATTTATTAATTTGGTAGTTTGTAAAAAGTAATCCTTATATAACATTAATATGAATATGCAAATTAATTAATGAGCAGGCAGTATTCAGTTAGCAAATTTAACAGCATAAAAACATATTTACATCACATATTTATCATTTATTAAGAATTCAATAATGCTAGGTCTAAGAAAACAATGAAAAAGTAAAAAAATAAATAACCTCTTTAAGAACAGACAAGCACAGAAAATATAAACACAAATGTAATTGAAAAGTGCTTTATTAGCAAAGTGCTGTAAAGTGAAGTGCATTTTAAAATGAAGTATAACTGTAAGTTGATTTTATTTTACTACAAAAATTTATAACAAGTATCTTGTAAAAGTAAGCATTCATGACAGAATATTTTTCAGGGTAGCTTATTAAAAGGTTAGTGCAATTGTGAGCAAAACCATAGCTAATTTATGGAGTCAAATATTTGTGATAATTAGACAGCGGACATATAGGCTTTTAAAAGTGGCGTTTTAGGCGCTTAAAATAAGCTCTTAAATTGCGTCGTTTAGGTTTTATTAACAAAAAATAGGCGTTTAAAATTTGCACAATGAACAATTAACGTACTTATCAGGATGATGAATTTTTTATTTAACATATGTATTCCAAACAAAAATGCACGTATTCAGAATGATGCAAACACAAAGTAGACAAACAATTATCTTTACATTTTTTATTTGCTCTGTTTCCCATAGTTAGCTTCATAATATATTTCAAGCACTTTTTTCAAATTTTCAATAGAAAAGTTGCAACGTTTGTCACTGAGAATTAATTTATATGCAGAGAAAGAGCATATAATCCATTATCTTCAGTAGATGTGTTCCACATCTACTGAAGATAACGGATTATATTTCAACCTTGGAAGAAGATGAACTGGGAATTCACTTTTGCTCTTCTTTCTTGCAAAAATATCAGCCACAATAAACAAGCACTTTAATCCAAGTCTCTTTTGAAGCACTGCTTTCAACTCTTTCTTCACTTTTTTTGCAGTAGTGCCTGGTGCATCACAAAGTTTCTGGTTTGCTCTGTTGAGAAGATCAATTTGTTCGTATATAGGTTTCCCACTACTTTCAAGTGCAGTAATAGATGAATTCAATGAATGTGAAATAACACTCGATGTACATCAACCTGTTCTGAACATAAATGTCGTTCAAAATTTTCTTGGCTTTAGTTACGCAAACTGCATTGTCCGTTAAAGTGTCCAGAAGTTTTTTGATATCGAAGAAATGTTCACTGTAGTAGTTAGTACAAAATCTTAGCCATGTATATGCTAAGGGGAAAATAGGCATTTGCCAAAATCCGCTGTCTAAAAATGACAAATAAGGCATCTCTGACGCTATATTTATTTTAAAATATTTCATATAGTTTTAATTTTATTACTATAAAATTGCATCAGGGGTGTAATTTATTTATGTTATTATTGCATTCTAATTTTTTCTGCTTGGGATATGCATCCACTGGGAATTAAATATAAGTAATCAATAATAATAAAAATTTGAATTTGTCTGATTGCATTTTCAGGAAAAAAATAAAACTTAAGAAGTTTAATATAAGAATTAAATTAAACCTTTGCGGAAAATAAAACGAAAAATGAATAAAAACTTTTTAAAAATATGAAAACAGACCAAACTTTGTGTTTTAGGCAAAAATAGGCAGCAACGTCAAAATAAGCATTTTTAGGCATTATAAAATACCATTGTTTCGGTCTAAATGTTCATGAGAAGTGTTCGTACGAAATCTTAGCCAAGTATATGCCAAGGAAAAAAATAGGCATTTGCCTAAAATCCGCTGTCTAGTGATAATATATATTTTTGAATTGATTTGCATCTCATTGTTAGATCAAATTCTGTAATAGCAAAGCTATTAGTATACAACAAAAATGATTCTAACAAATTAAATATCTTTTAATTTGGCTGCAATTTGAATAACTGTAGACCTATAAATACCATCACCTGTCTGTTGTCTGTCTGTCTATCCTTCCTTAATCTCAAGAACGGTGGTAGATAGATAAAAGTTAAGACCAGATATCAAAAGCTTAGGGTTAGGAAGCCCTGATTAACTATATATGAACTTCCACTTTGGGCTGAAAGTCATGTTATTTCAATTCAAAAATTTTTTCTTGAACAGAGTTAAATATATGACTGGCATGATTTCAATGTTAACAGAAAAAGTTTGATATACAGGGGCAAGACACTACTAAACTTAAGCATTGTGACAATGTCACAATAAATAATTGCTTGTTCCATATTAATAACTTTATTTTTAGAGATTTTGATCTCATAATGAGATGTAAATCATGTGGGAAAATGTTTTATCACAAATAAATGTTTGACTCCTTGAACTTGATTAGTTATGATTGTTTTTTACATAAAAGAAATAGATGGTATCAGTAGTTATGACAGAGTTGATTAATGCAATGAAAGCTATATGTCATTAAGTTGCATATAGGGTAAATATTGGTAAATTTGTGATAAAATTAATTATTCTTTAATTACTGGACATATAGTTTGTAAATGGAAATGTTAATTAAACTGTCAAAGGGATCATACTTTGAAGATAACAGCATTGCTTTTTGGCATTATGAATATATTTATATTCTAATTTTCTATGGGTATATTTCTTATGTTGTGTACAGGTGGTTATTTGGAGATATCTTCGGTAAGTTCATGATAATACATTGCTAATTTCATTAGAGGATACTTTAGCCTATATATTGTTAATTGGATTAATTTTTATTGTAGTACATGTAATTTTTTCTCTTATACTTTTTATCTGCAAACATACATACATGTGCATGTATACACAAAATGACTTCAATCTTCATCTGAATTGCTAGCACATCCACCACACGTACACACGTCTTCCCCTTCTTCATATGAAGAAGGGAAATGCCAGGCATCATGCCTGGCATTTCTTGTGGTACCAAACCAAACAGAAACTACATTGCATTCATTATGTCTCAATCGTAATTTCTAACATGTTTATTAAAATTGTGAACATGCACTCTTTAGATGCTTTGTATATTAACATTTTCCATCCTTATGGATTTAAAAAGACTATTTTTTTTATGTTGATGATGATTTGATGATATTTTGAGTAGTAATTTCGTGATATATTAATTATTTGATCATGTCTCCTTTTGGACCTAAAAAGTATGACAGATAGGATATGTTCAATTAACATATGTATAAGTTACACATATTATTATTTTACTTCTCTAATCAACAATAATTAATTATTGGATAGTCCTTGTATGATGTGTCCAGAATTTCACTGCAAAAGCTAAGGAAATTTAAACGCACAATACAGTAAAAAAAAATAATAATTGCATGTTCAAATATAACTCTAGTTCT